CTTATGTTGGGATATTGGAATCATGGAAGAGTTATCTATTTTAATTTGAATTTGATTTCTAGTGGTTTCTTTTATAGACTTCAGATTTGTTTTTTTTGTGTAACTTGTTTTGGTACCTTTTGCCAAAGTGTTTTCATTGTAGTTAGGTTTCCATTAAGCTTTTCTGTTATAAAGTTCCCTTTTAAAGGACATCTTTTCATTTACTTTTTTTTTTAAAAAAAAATTACCATAAAATAAAATTTTAAGAAAAAAAAATCCATGGGAAAGAGTTTTTTTTTTCTGATTTAATAATTTAAGTATAAAATATTTTTACTAATTTTTTTTAAAAATTTAAGTATAATTTGATTCAAAAAAATAAAATAAAATAAAAAATATTAAAGACAATTTGATATACTGTAGAATTTTAATAAATCAACATATAGTTCTAAAAATAAATTGATTTTTTGAGCAAAGTTAAGTTGTTAGTGTTAGGGGAAATTAATTTTTTAGGAAATTAATCTTAATAGTTGATCAAAACTAACATATTTTTTCCTCTAAATTCTAGATGCACGCTTGCCGCTTGGTGCCCAGGGGAGTGCATTTGGTGTTTCGCCAACGATTCGCGCTTTTTTTTTTTTGTTACACCAATAATACCAACAATACATTACGTATTGTCATAGTGCATACGCTATTTACAATGATTATTAAAATATTTTATATTGTATAGTAATCGTTGGATGTAATATGAGAAGTATTATGCTAGAAACCTAGAATTTACAAGTTACTATTATTATTCTTTTTTTTCATTGAATTATTCTACTTTTATAATTTCTTCCGCTCACGGAAATAAGTATTCAACCTTTGGGCATAACCAGAAAAGGTGCTCGATGTTGTCCCGTAAAATTTGCTACCTCGTGCCGCCACCAACGCGTCCACGAATGAAACCAAGTATTTAAACATATTCGTACCGTCCAGTGGGTTCGTTATGTTCATTGATTCAATCTGAAAATCGTTCAGCACGTAAACACACGGGAACATCTCCAATAACGGACGAAGAACCACGTTATCACGATGAACGTCAGTTGCTAGGTATATTACTATAGGAGATTTAGAGTCAAATTTAGGATAACAGGATTGATTAAGATTAGAATTTATGACATTCTTTGAGTTCATAATGTTGTCCGAATTATTTTTCGAGAAATCGTATTTCAATTGGTCAATGAATCTTTGTATAGTTTGATTCCCTACATTCGAGAAACCAGGCCCTAGCCGTGCATGGATGCCCACATACTTATCATCTCCTCCCATCCTACTTATAATGCTCTCCACAACTCTCAAAATTTCGGGATTGCTTGGCGTCATTGAACGCATTAAATTATCTTTAAACTTTTTGCTACTTTGTAGTTTCATAACCACGCGTGCTCCGGAGAACAAACTTCCAAAATGAAGCAGCTTTTCTGGGCGATTTAACAAATCCTCCAAGTCTACTCTCTCACTGAATTTACCCAATGCCTGTGTGGCATCTCTGGAATCGTAATAACGCTGAGTGTATCTAACCTCATCTTTTGTTAAGTTGTACACTTGATCTTTATCATGAGGAGAAATACTTAAGCTTCGCATCAAATGTTCATAAAAAAAGTCGGTACGATGGATAATTCGAATGTGCTGTCTCACGAACTTAAAATCAATCAGCTCATCCCAATTGTACAACGTAAAAGATGATACTTTGCATCTGCCGCCTCTACATCGTGTGAAGGTGGATTTTTCTGGACTTAGTTGGGAGAGAGTAGAATAGAGAACTTCATACGGCTTCATTGGTATGGCGCTATCATTGAAGTATAATATTGGAGGAACTATTAGAGTCCTTTTTAGATACCAGGCGATAAATATGGCATTCTCTAACGAAATGCGTTGATTGTGAAATCCGCTGTGCGGCAAGTAGGTCATGTATTTTTCATCCGAAGAATTGGTGGTGTTGCCATCGTTCTCGGAATAAGAAGCCGGATTGTCAATTCTATAGTTATAGGCCAAATAAATGAAAATTACGAAGGAAACGAAGGTTATGAAAAATAAGGGTTTTTTCAAAGAGTGTTGCATGGTGTTCGAATGTAATTAAAAATTAAAACTCCGCAGTTATTGCTTGAATTACTGGATTTCTTGTATTGCAACAATAGCAGAGGGAATATGGAAACGAACGAACGATGGTAATAATCCTTATGTAGAGTGAATTTGTTTATAGGACAGTGTACCACATAAACATCGCACGGAAGCACGCGCTGACAATTGGACCGGCGGGCATAACAAAACTGCATTGAAATCCGATTCCAATTGGACATATTAAGTTGCAAACGCCAAACTTTGTACCCTGTTTAATAACACAATGATTCAACGTTTTAAAATATTCTTCCTTCACGTTGCGGGAACTTACGATGTACTGTGGTGCATATTATACAGTACAGTATATCATTAGAAATGTTTTACGATACACGGTAGTTTATAGGGGTTCTTTCGGTTGGACTATTCATTCGATTAAATTTGCACCCTGCACAATCTTAGATAACCATCTACGTACGTGAAATGATGCACAAAGCATGGTGTACTTGTATGCATTCAATTTCTTCACGATAAATGGATGTTTTCTGCCAATCATTTAAATTTGGCAGCTTGACACTATTGCGAATGAGATTGTTCCAAGTATGCGACATACGTATAAGGATTGGTTTGGTGAGGCTTATGGTCAGGTTCAATGTCTTTCCTATTCGGGTAATCTAAATACTATATTTTAACATTTCAAATGTCCAGATTTACGGATGAGTGCCACAAAGCTGCATTGATAAATTACCTGCCATGAACACTCGAAATCATATTACACGACCAAATACTGTATATTTGTTGGCAAATTGCATAATGACTAAGATACTGTAGATAAGAACGCACGATTGAATTGGGGGTGAATTAAAAATGAGTGAGTTCCAATAATAGATGGGCCTTCTGTGATCACCAGCTGGTGCAGATTGCGCATCTTATAAATAAAAGGACAGAAAAAAGATACCGTATTCTTAAATATAACGTACGGCATATGCTGCTGTTACAGTGTATAGCATACAATGTATTTTTTTTTTTGTTAAAAAAAAAAAAAAAAAAAAAATACATAGAAAGCAATGCCATACAAGGAATGCTATTCGTCGACTTTAATAGTACTTATGAAGAGTATAAAAGTAATTTGATGTGATCTTGATTACACCGTTTAAATACAAAGAAATATTTTTCAGCGGTTTACAAGTAGAAATTGTCGTGATTCGTATCATATTGCTTATATTGTATTTTAGTGTTCCGACGACATAAAGTATTATTCATTAAAGGAAAAAATAACAAGTGAAGGTATATGAAAACGCAACAAACATATTCAGACAAAACTAAGGCAGAGGAGATAGTAAACTTCTACCAGGATTTGGCAAATAACGAATTTGGTGATTTCTTTGTTCGTCAAATTGACATTTAGTTACCCGTCTGTTTGCACATACTGTATCACTGATATAAAAAGCAAAACTCTCACCAATGCAAGGGGTTACACACGATCTTTGTGTTCTTTATACTATTACGTGTTAAACGTGAAATAATAATTCGTTAGATCTTAAGATTGAAATTAGAGAATCCAAGGAGAACTTTAAAGGACAATGCAAGACTTGCTTGTCAAATGTGAGGATGCAAAATTGAGAAATAATAAAAATTGCGAATCCGATGGCTTTAGTGAGCGCATTTTCATAATGTTAACCACAATCAAAATGGAATATCGATTTGGTGAAATAAGAACGTCGGGAAACGCCATGACAGAAATAACTCTTGTGTATTAATAAGGGATACAGGTCACGGAGAAAATTTAGTAAATTCGCTTTACAGCTCCAGGGTTTTTATTTTAATTTAACGTGAGGTTCACAGTGGACTGAATGAATGTTAAAAGATGCAAGTAGAATTTTACTAGAGTTTTATGACCTCAAAAAATACTACCAATGGTATGTTGTTTTCTTTTATATACCGTTTAAATGTAAACAGTAGAAAATTATTGCAGAATTATCAATATGCCCCTAAATGCGCACTTAAAATGAAACCACTGAGTTCGATCAATTCCGGCTAAACGTAGTCAAATTAAATTAATTTTAGCCGGGTTTAATTACTTTCTGATCGTGATCTACTTAATATTGGCCAAAATTACTGAATTTGGTTAATTTTGGCCTGGTTTTAACCGGATTTAATTGTTACTTTACTGTACACTCCCCTGCCAGAAGTCACCGGACGTTAATCAGATTTGGAAGTAATCAACAAAGAAAATGTTTTCGTTTTTCCAAAGAATGTACTGTGCAGTACATATTTTTATACTAAAAAAATTATTTATGCAAAATCTAAATGTTATATTTATTTATCTATATATTTAATATTTTGTAACATTGTTATTTGAGATTTTAACAGCCTTAACATGACAAGAAATACTTTTTACTATATTTGAAATCACTTTTTCAATAAAAAATTAAATAATTCCTCTTTACTAAATAGTAATGAATCATGCCCATACAATTGATATTACAACTTATCCCATAGATACTCAATAGAATTGCAATCTAAACTTTGAACCATAAAAGACAAATAACATATTTTTGTTTTTCCTATTTTTTTATTATACAAACTTAATGGATTGAACAATTATTATTTCAAAATATATAATTTTTTTTAAATGGCAATAAATTATTATTAAGCATTTCTATATACATTTTGCAGGTTGTCATCTATTAATTTGTATTAATAGGTTCTAACTATTAATAATAAAACAATTTCAAATTATAATCACTTTTCTTTCTAATTAAAAAATTAATACAAAATAATTTATATGATATTTTTTTTAAATAATTATCTAATATAATTACTTTTATTATTTTCAAATATTTCAAAATAAGATTTGTCACTTCAAATAATAGAATCCTACTTAGAAGTTTAGTTTAATTATTTGATTACTCAATTTTTGTAAACCAATTATTTTTTTTTTTTTTTATTAATAAATGACTTTTACTTATTAACTTAAACTTACTTTTTTATATAATATTTGTTTTAAAATATATATATTAAATTTAATTATTATTAATTTTATAAATTTATTATATATAATATTTAAATAGCTTTAAAATTTTTTTATGATTTGTAACAAATATTATATATCATAATTTATTAGTATAACTGATCTTTTTTTCTAAATTAAAAAAATTTTTTATCAATTTTTTATAATTTATTATATTATGCACTATTGATTTAAATATTACTAGTCAAAAAATATTTATTTGACATAATGTCACTCATGTAATATTCATCAAAAAAATAAACAATTCAATATATTAATAACATAAATAAATAGTCAATCAATTTTTACTTTTTTTTTTTTTTTTTTGCTCTCTATCAGGCTAGTTACATATACTTTATTAAATATTTGTAAGCTGTACATATAACATAAGATGCTAAAACTGATTCTTTAACTAACTCAATTATCTTGATTGTTTTACCTTTCTAAGTACAACTTCAAGAGTAATTTATTGTTCAATTAAGAGTTCAGGTAAATATCCTTTCAACTTCTAACATTATTGCCTGCAGATTACTACTGCAAATTACTCTTTCGAGTTCTGACAGAAATTAAAACCCAACCATTTCATCCCATACATTATCCTATTTCACAGGACCTGTTTGAGTATTATATTTTTTAATTAATTTTTCTTTCCTTAATGATGCTTGATATGACCGATTTCCTAATATCTTGATTCTATTTTTTTGTTTCTATAGATATATTAGTTTTTTAATCTTGTTACCTCTATTAATTTCCAACATCCATTTCTACTCTATTATCTTCTCACATTTAATGTTTCAAATTTTTTTTCTAAAATAATTATGTGTTTTCTTCTACATCTTTATTATCCATTTTTTTGCTTTTTTACTGATTCTCTTTCTATAACACTTCAAGTTTGCTATCTCATCCATTAGGTTTTTTTTTATCAGTCTCATATAGAAACTAAGTATTGTATATTTCAACCAATGTTTAAGATTCTTTCCACTAGTTAAGTTATTTTCTTATCTATTTCTCCTTTTTCCATTCTGTTATCAACTGTTAAAATTATCTTTTTTTTCTTCTAATTACTTTTTCTTATCTGCCAGAAATTTGTTGAAACCTTGCATTATATCTTTATATCTTTCTGCCAGATTTTTTGCCACTAAATTTTGTATGCTGGACATTTTAGCAAGTGTTTTATTGTCTCTTCTTGCTATTCACATGTGAGATATTTTACTTGCTTATATACAGTTGCTTCCAAAAGTTTGAGTCCACTTACTATGTTTTTATTATAAATTTCAACTTTGACAATTTTTAAATCCTTAATTATACAATTAAAAATTATAAAATTCATATATATTATATTTTAATACTAGTTTTATTAAATATATTTTTTTCAAAAATTTTGGATATATAATTTTTAAAGTTTTATTATTGTAAAAATTTTTTTCTTTATCAAATTTTTACTTTTGGAGAATTTTGATTGGTTGTTATCGTAAATTATATTATAACTAATAAAAAAATAAAAATATTTAGC